CCCCGCCTATAAACAGATATTAATTACCCCAAGATCACAAGTACAATAGATGTTAATCTTCTTGTTTGAGGAGCTGTTCACTTGAGACAGTTAAGCAAGTCCCAGCTGTGTCTGGGTACAAGTGACAGGATGAACAACCCAGCGGGTTTTCTTCCTATTGGGGAGTGTTGTACATGCTGCTATGCGGTATGTCCACTTACAAGATGAGTGGCGCTACCCAATAAACTCGCCCCTCGGGGCAAAATTTAAAAAATTTAAGCATAATAATAGCCAAACAAAATGAAATGACAAAGTCGATATTTGGTCGTAGTACCATTTTGACGAGCTAACGCACAGTATTACAAGGCATTACAAATATTACAAGGTAATATTACAATATTTCTGGAAGGCCAGGTCTAAAATGTGTACACTAAATAACTTACTGTAGTGAAATGCAGAACAGACCCCAGTGAAGAGTGCCATGCAGTGTTCTCTACATGGCACTCCAACATAGCTCCTCCCACCATGCATAAGAAATATCGACAATATACAAGTGGAGGTTTTCAACAGGCAATTGGAGTAGTCCCTGTTTGGAAATGTGGGATCAGCCGGGTTGTAATGGATATGTGGGCCTGCGGGCCGCTCCAAGCCTGACGGATCAAATTATCACAACTCTCCAAAATGACTCCAGATAAGTGAACGAGAATAACTTTGTACGCACACACTGGCAAAAGTATTATATTGCGCAGTGAAAATTTATATTAGCAACCCACCAGGTAAACCTAACCTAGGTTTGTGTATAAATAATAACGAAACATCGGAAAGTGGGCTTATGTACGATATCATTTGTTAATTTGCAGTCGGTTAGTTTAATTCGTTTATTATGGGCCTCGTATCGACCCTGTGGCTGGTACCTGATCAACCAGGCTGTGACTCATACGTCAGGCTGCGAGCAGCCGCGTCTAACAGCCTGGTTGACCAGTCCAGCAACCAGGAGGCCTGGTCGACGACCGGGCCGCGGGGACACTAAGCCCCGGAAGCACCTCAAGGTAACCTCAAGGTAAGGTACCTGGTTGATGGGGAGTAGAAGAACTCCCAGAACCCCAAGCCCGGCCCGAGGCCAGGCTTGACTTGTGAGTTTGGTCCACCAGGCCAAATTACAGCGGGACCGCAGGCCCACATATTCCACCATCTATCTACTGTAACATTAGTCCCCAGAGCCCTGGAGCTACAGCTCAGCAGCACTAGACAACTATCCCCTGCAACGTACTAAACACTAATCCCAAGGTGACTAAAAGAACATTTAAAACAGCTGAATTTTGTCTTCAAACATCAATGTAAATTCAAAGAAGATAAAGCTTGCAGAGTCAACTTGAGAGCCGTCCACGACGCCAGTCATCACACTGGAGAGGCTCGACCACACTACATCTTGAGAGAAGGGAGACGTGACAATGATACATATACAAGGTTGAGTGGTATTTATCACGTAGACTGAAGCAGTGTTCAAAATACGCACCATCAACCCGAGGGGTAACTAGACAAGCGAGTCATTGTGATGTAAACAAAAATTATACTTCAGCACAAGTCTAAAATAAATGTAGAGCATTACGTCTGAATGATGATGAAGTTGACGCAAACTTAATGCGCAACTGTAAATGTCAACAGGCCTCCTACAACTGTAAATTAGATCTATGACAGAAGAAAATAGTTTCCGAATTAAAATACTAGTACAGTGGTTCACGAAGATGGGGTAGCCGACGCGCTACCTTCAGAGCACACGTGCGATAAGCTACACGAGAGAGACCCACTGACAGATGGACGGCTACCGGACGGGAGGCTGGGCGAACGTGGGAGGAAGATACATTTATCCTGCATGTTACAAGAAAAAAAATGTCCTGTATTCATGTAAAACGCAAAACTTTATTCACGAAGTACATAAAATCACGTCTGTGTGATATTACTCCAAATTAACGACGCGTTAAATTAGACTATTGTACTTGTATAGACGTCTTCAGAATACCTTACATGCTACAACCATTATTATTTTATCCTGGGGACTACATTACGATATGAACATGCTTAGACTGGTGCTTCATACGTTTTACATGTCGAATTCTTGTTCTAGTAACCCTATCCAGGCCTCTTCAGAAAACCAGAGTTCGCTAGGGGCGTAATTGTCAATCTGCCCCTCTAATTATTTAAAAACATACTGCACTGTTCCAAAGTCAACAAGTCTAAATTTAACTTGCATAAATTCCATTACAATTTATTCCTTTGCTTTAGCACTGCTTCTTGTAGCAACACCGAGAGGGGGGGGGGCACGGATATTGCCGAATCATAGGACTTATAGCATTGCAGAGATTGTGTTACGTACCGGGTGGTGGTGGTGGTGGTGGTGGCCGGGGGTTACGACAGCTGGCCGCCAGCAGTACAGCACCCGAGGGCTACCGCCAGCACCCAGCAGTGGTCAAGGCCACACACTGTTCCAGCAGCTGCACACTATAAACAAATGTAAGAGGGGCGCCCACGAACCGGTTGAGCGAGCGGGAAGGCAAGCAGGTAGGGGGCAAGAAGTTCACAGATGAACAAGTATATTGACATTTAGGTAAGCAGGCAGTTAGGTAAGGAGACGGGTAAGCATATTTGGTAGGTAAATAAACAATTAGGCTGTGTAACCAGGTCAGCTAGTAAATAATCAAGCACACTTAATGCGCCTCTGTCTGCAACAGCGCGCAAACTGACCTGAATACAAACAAAACCTTGCTGTAATGTGACTTACATTAGAATGTAAACAAAGATCTATATAGACACACTGAAGAACTTGTGTTACACCGTATATGTTAATGTCCTTGATATCACAGTATCAACATTTCAGTCAATACTATGCAGTAATTAGCCAAAGTCAGAGGCAAGTGGTTACTCTACCGCGGCACTGTATACATTATGACCTGTTTAAAATTCCTGGCTTCAATGGACTACCATTAAGGCAAGGCAAATTATCAAAAAGCCAGTATGACCATGTATAATTTTTGGAAGGTATATGAGTACAAGGAGCTAGGATATCACGGAGGCCCAACCACTTGGACCATCGGGGGGATTGAACGCCGACCTGGAAAGAGGGAGACTGTAGGTCGAACACTGTACCGACCAGTCTATGTGCATGGCCTGGACTGTTACTAGAAAGAGCTCAATTTGGAGATCAGGCCTTTAGTTAAACTATATAATTTATGATGACCTCGTGACATTAAAAAGCACACCTGCACTATTCAATCTATAGTACAGGTTCATCCAATCATCTTGCGGTAGTCATGAAAGGACTCGAGTCACTTCCCAGTGAATAAAATATCAGAGCAACGCCAGTTCAACGTCACCAACGTTGGTGACGTTAGTTAAATATAAATATATTTCAAAGTGTAAAACTTGTACAATGTGCAACTGGTCCTCCTAAAATGATACAATAAGAACTCATCGCCTGCATATCGTTATGCATATCGCCTGCGTTATTGTGACTCATCGCCTGCATATCGTTATGCATATCGCCTGCATTATTGTGACTCATCGCCTGCATATCGTTATGCATATCGCCTGCGTTATTGTGACTCATCGCCTGCATATCGTTATGCATATCGCCTGCATTATTGTGACTCATCGCCTGCATATCGTTATGCATATCGCCTGCATTATTGTGACTCATCGCCTGCATATCGTTATGCATATCGCCTGCGTTATTGTGACTCATCGCCTGCATATCAATACATTAAGTTATTATTTGGTCTAAAGTACCAATATGTACTGATGGCCAACCAAACAGGTCGTATTGTACACTTGTAAAATTAAAGTCAAAGAAAAATGCTAAAACCAAACAAACATTCCTAGGCGCATATATACTCCATTAGGCCTAAAGTAGCTTGTATTACGCACAGGAGTGTTAGGACAGGTTAGGTTAACTCCATTTACTTTAATATTTAAGAGAATGCTATTTGAGTTAGTTTTTTAGTTTAGTTCATTTATTATACACCCCATACCCATCTTGTGGGTTAATAATACAAAATGTGAACTTATTGGCGAGACCACCAGTACATATTGGTACTAGTGACCAAATACTTGCTGTAGTAAGTACAGTACTGCCATTTTAGGATGATGGTCTGACAATTTGACCCTCCCGGTCAGGGAGCCGAGCAGACAGCACGCTGGACTTGTGATCCTGGGTTCGATCCTAGGCGCCGGCGAGAAACAATGGGCAGAGTTTCTTTCACCCTATGCCCCTGTTACCTAGCAGTAAAATAGGTACCTGGGTGTTAGTCAGCAGTCACGGGCCGCTTCCTGGGGGTGGAGGCCTGGTCGAAGACCGGGCCGCGGGGACACAAAGCCCCGAAATCATCTCAAGATAACCTCCCCTACCGCCTGGACGAGGGACTACTGCTTGTTGCAAGTCAACAAACTGGTTAGTCAGCAGGTCTCCTGGGCAACAAGAGCCCCCAGGTGAAGGTCTGATGGCTGCGGCCACGGGTACACGCACAGAGTTGGGTGACACGACGAGGGGGAGCTGGGTGCCGTGACGAAGGGAAGATGGTGTGAAGGGGAGGGTGAAGAAAGCGGAGACGGATGTGGTAACTAAGGACAAGCCGCCCCCCACTAACCTTCCGGCTCCCACCCCAACCCAACCCTCCCTTTCCCTTCCTTCCTGGCACCGGCGCCAACACCGCGTGATTTAAGCCGCTCTCCGCCAAAAAGAAACACTTCGATCAATGAGCTCCCGCCCGGTGAGCATCATCAGACAGGAGGGTCACACAAGTTAGCTACAGGTGTACTGACCTCTCGGCCCATGGAGGAATGGAGAGGACTAGGCCGAGCATCCTGCATGATGCGTAAGGTCGAGCATCGTGCATGGTGGAGCGTGGCGCCAAGTTCTCAGGGTAGGGGTGGGGGTGGTGGGGAGGTTGGTGCCAGATGTGGCACACGCTGCCCGCAACCCTCCCTCCTCCCGCCCCCTGCTACCCCGTCACTCCTGGGCCCAGCATGGCTGAGCTGCGGGCGGCACACCCCAGCCAGTGTTCCTACTCCAGCGGCCGAGGGAGCGGGGCGTCCGCGATGACAGTGATTGTACCACCACAGTGACGAGCCGGTTACCACCACCAGGTGCTGCTCCTAGTGTGACGCCACACTCTACCACACGCCCTACTATATGACCTCCCCCCTCCCACGCCTTCTACACTATCCCCTAACACCATGCCACGCGACCCCCGCCAATGACCTCATCCTCCAGGTATCCGCCTTTGATCCTCACATTCATGACCTTTACCAGCTCTATACCATGATGTATACATCATGGTTCAATTCCCCTATGTCTTCTCCCACCTACACGACCCCCCACCCCCTCTCAAGGCATCATCCAGCTATACACTTGGATGAAACTGCAATAACCAAAGCATTGTACCAACTGCTTACTCTTTATGTAATCACATGGTCATTTGTGCAACAGTGTTAAGCCTGGCGTCTCCTTGTTTCTTGTCCTCATCAATGAAAAACGACACCGCTGGCGAGGACCCTCGTTATACGGGCTAAAATAATCCTACCCTGGGACATAAAGACCTCCGTGTTCCGTGTGGTGGTGGTAGTGTTCAGCTTACTTCGCCTAAACCACCAAACAGTGATCCCTAGCAGCCTAGCTCGCACTATTACCCCTCCGTAAAAAAATGCAACTATTTGCCTAATCGGAAGCGTCAGAACCTAGGCAAGCCACCTACCTTACCGGAACCGATAATCATCAGACCCAGGAAGCGTCAATATTGCGGCGATTTTAATTTAAATTTTTTTTAAATTTTGCCCCATTTCCCTAAGCCACCACAATTTTTACGCCCAAGTTGATAGGGTAAAAATAAATATGTAGTGTTAAGAGGACAGATTTGTGCTCCCAATACTAACCTAAACCATCCGGACGGACTTAACACACATGCTTCAACAAGCCTATACTAGGCTTTCTGTCCCAGAGAACGGGACACCAAACCGCGCGTCTTATTTAATTACACCATCACATTTAGCGTCTGTTTATTTTGGCGGCAAGATGCGTGCATCCTTAAAACATTAGCGTAGAGACAGCTGGTGACGCTTTCGTGGCGCGTTGAGAGGTTGTTGGGGCTGTAAGCAAGAGTTAAAATGGTGCAAGAACTAGCCTACGAAGATGAAGGCAAGTGAAGGTTAACTGAAGTCGACAATGTGATGAAAACTCTGGCATTTCTCGGGTGTATGTGTAGATATCCGATACTACCTATGCCTTGAGGGTCAGGTCCCAAATCTACACAGTAAAATAACAACATACTGGAGTGAACGACATGAAAGAAAATGCACGATAGAACCAGTGAAGAACATGGGTGCTATAGGCACAATCAGAGAACACTGAATGATCAGAGGTCCGCTGTTGTTCAACTACCTGAAATATTATATATATATATATATATATATATATATATATATATATATATATATATATATATATATATATATATAAGCATAAGAAATATTGCCGAAACAACCGTGGACATCTTCAAGAGAAAACTAGATAGTTTTCTTCAAGAAGTGTCGGATCAACCGGGCTGTGGTGGATTATGTGGGCCTGCGGGCCGCTCCAAGCAACAGCCTGGTGAACCAAACTCCCACAAGTCAAGCCTGGCCTCGGGCTAGGCTTAGGGAGTAGAACAACTCCCAAAACCCCATCATCAAGTAGGTACCTTTGTACTACTCTGCCATGTTGGAGCTGGAGAGTCAAGTACCGACACAAAGTTATCCAAGAATGGCTAATAATGTAACACCTAGGCATAGTACATTAAATCATTATATAGTTATAAATATACATTATAAAAAATTATATTACTGCAACAAGAGCCTATACAAATAAAGATAACTTATTTTCAAACAAGTACATGTGACAAACGAAAAAAGAAACCTTGCATAAAACTACTCTGTAACGGTTATTTAATTCCTGTTGTTGAATACAGGAAGCCCGTGAATACATGCTTTAGGCTTGTATCGAGGTCCCCCCCCCCCAAGGTCGAACTACTGATCCTCCACAGGGTGCAACCCTACACCAGTTGCCCAACTCTCGGGCAACTTACTGCTAGATGAACATGTGCATTAGATGAAAGAAGTGCCCAACCATTTCTATCCATCCTCAAATCTGGGAGGCCCGATTGAGCCGAGAAAGAAGACAATTTGTACTACGAGAACCTATTTCTTAATGGATTGCCAAGTTTTAGCATATAATTTGCATATTCAAAAGTAAAGGCCACATATTTGTAACACACAGGTATGGCAATGTACGAGGCAGTGAAAACAGCGGCAACTTTTACAGACAATTACATTACATTACATTCTTATACAGCCACTAGTACGCGTAGCGTTTCGGGCAGGTCCCTGGAATATGATCCCCGCCGCGAAGAATTGTTTTTACAACCAAGTACTCATTTTACTGGCGAGTTAAACAGAGGCTACAGTTAAGGATTTGCACCCAGTAAATCCTCCCCGGCCAGGATACGAACCCATGACAAAGCGCTCCCGGAACGCCAGGGGAGTGTCTTACCACTACACCACGGAGACTGGAATAATTGCATAGCAATCCCCCGCCTATACAATCGTATAGCAAATGGCAACCACGATACAACTTGCAGAAAACGGCAAAGTTAATCACATTAGGGTAAACCTAAATAACAGTAAAAGCTAGTAACCTTAACAAAATAATCTACAAATTTTACGGGAAATTGGTCGTTTTGCGCAGCTATTATTTAATTTATTTATTATGTAAACATATAATACAGAAAGAAAGGGATTATGCTTACCATATTTTCATGGAATAAGAGAAAATGGCTGTATCCTGCTAATATGAAGGTATCCTGTCACAAGTATAGACAAAATGGTAACCATATTACGATGTACAACGTTCCACTAGCACGAGAAATATGGGAACATTCGCGTACGTTTTCCAACATCAATTACGAAGGGTGTTGTTATCAATTATCAATTACCTTGGCGTGTTATAGTGTGATCGTTTTAGCAACCTTTTTTCTAAACGTTAAAACGCAGTGACAGTGAAATCTAACCGCCAACCAATTCCTCTATTGACCATCAGTGATGCCGTAAGTGAACCCTCACAGATTTGTCTCCATCCATCTCGGTACCTCTCATGATTCAGTCTTACGTGACCATTTTTTGGTTATACGATGTCGTTCTTGGCGAGCCAGCAATTCATCTACAATCAAAGTTTCAACAAAATACGTGCAACTATTAAAGAAAGCAACCGATTGAGGATGACAATAAAAAACATGACTAGCAAGAGAGAATGCCTAAAAAAAACACATTATTATATATATATATATATATATATATATATATATATATATATATATATATATATATATATATATATGCGCAGACGAACAGCACGCGAGTTCCACCATTGTCAACCAGGGAATGTGATAACTCATTTCCACATAATGCATTCACTTTTTGTTTATATTAACACGCTTAGTTACACAACACTGCAGCTATCCTAATAGTCCGAACAAGTCAGTGTTAGGTCAAAACTATATTTATGTCAATTTAATATTTTCATCTCGGAATATTTTGCTATTTATGGGACTGGCTTCAAACTATCAGTCTGCACTCGCAAGATTCGAATGGACTACAATACACATTATCCTTAGGTATTACCGAGTGCACGAGTGTACATAATGCACAGTAAAAATCTAACGTGGTGGAAGAAAAAACGGGGGCATGCGTTCGTTGGGCGAACCATATGCAGGTGATGTGTTCCATGCGGGGCCCATATGGTTGACGTCACAGCTGGGGGCCGGCATATGTTATCCCTGTTATCGTTTTCTACTTTGCCTGTCGTGTCAATCCATGGTGGGCAAAGGAGAAACCCCCACGTGTCAATGCATTTTCACCATATCTTAAACAGAAAATCGATTAACAAATTCACGAGCCAGATTTCCTGAACCACAATTAAGAAACCCGTAAAAATGATCAATCCGGAGAATTATTGACAACGAAAAGTGCAACGACAAATTGAATTTAAACATTACCGTTGCATTGCTCAAGTTGGCAAACCATATCTTCTTAAATGCATCCGAAAAATAAATGCAGAATAACCTAGTCTAAGCGCCAAGGCCCTACAAGAGTTCCATTAAAGTAAGTTATCTTGCAACCACTATAATGAAACAACATTATTAAGCGTTTTCAAGACATTTGGAAAAGGGTGGGCTGGTTTAGACACTGAGCGTGGACACCTCGCCAATCATCAATGACAAATTAAACCCTGATAAAAATCCTTGCATATTTACAGGCGAATGATTTGATTATATATCAAATCCACTACTTTCCTAGGTGCACATGTGTGAAGAGCATTCATAGGCACTACGGTAAGTTTCCAATTGAAAATAAATATGAAATAAAATACGCATTCAATAAATTCCTGGGTTTAGACATTAATCATAAAACAAAACTTACATTTTTTTTTATAAAAATACAAAGAAACGTTTACAAAAAGAAAGCACACTGTACAAAGAACTATAACAAAGAATTATAAACATTAGTTATAAACCAAAAAGTTAAGAGTGGGCAGCAAATCTACGCAATAAGTGCGTTGTGCGATGGGAGGTTATCAGCCAGCACTAAGCACCTGAAAACCGCTTTGGCGAGCCGCCGTCGGAGACCTTGTGATCAACAGATAACGCCTCGCGTGAACATATTTCATTGACATTATCGTACAACAGATAGATTACTTTTTTCTTGAGGGGGGGGGGGAGGGGGTGTAAGAGTTACGTGGGTACTATACTGGCTTGGCGCTTTCCCCTCGTAATTTACCATACCTTCAGGCTATAGTTGCATACAGGATAATCGTTATTTGGCATTTATATATATTTCTTAAGAACGCTGTCATTCACGAATTTTCATCACTAGCCATATCGATTTACTTGAACAAGATAAACTCAATAAAATGAGATGATGCAATAATAAAACTAAAGGAATGCTAACACCAGAGGGCCAGAACAACCTTCAACCACAAACTAGGATGGAACTACCATCCTGCAAGATTGAGATTTTAGCATCACGTGGCTAGTTCTTGATACTTTGTACTCCCGTTCATATAGTCTAGGGAAGCTGCACAAATGTAGACGTACCTAAATGTGTTTAAAAAAAAAAAAAAAAAAAAAAAAAAAAAAAAAAAAATTAAAAAGACACGGCTGGAACAAAAACGGTCCTCAATGGGAAAACCTGGACGGAATCTTGGGAATAATATTTTGAGTAATCAAACGCAAATAGGAGCTGCGGTAAAAAAAAAAATTATGAATAATAAAAACTTTTAACTTCAAGAAACAGAAAAATGCTCATCCACCTGAACAAATATCCAAGTATTGAAACCTTACCTACAAAACTTTTTATTTTACTGTTGTTGCTTAGATAGGTGTTGCAGCAGTCAACCAATGAATGTCTGAATCAAACATGAGACACGTGCCAACAACTTTCATATTTAAGCTTAACGGAAAGTCATGTAGCTCTGTCTGTCATTCTTGCAAGAATGTCCCATTTTGTGACATATTAAACCGATAATTCAAGATGTCAGTATTTCTGTAACCAAATGCATGTGTCAGTTTCTTTGTCACATATGAAACCTAGAGTGAAAGAAATCAGCCTTATTCGCAGTAAAACAGAAAAAACGCGATATTTAACAAGATACAATCGAAGAACAGACAGCCCAAGTTTTGAATATAGGAATTTACAAATTAATATTCAGCAAGCGCCAATTCCCTCCTCTTTAAATAATTTCATAACATAACAAAAACCAGGAGGCGCATTACAATTAACAGAAATTTCAATATGCTAACAAGATTCCGAGCAAGCTGTGTCACACTAACTTTTCTTTGGTTGCAATAAGCAGGGTGTTGCGACACACTTGCTACCTCAACCTTATGACAGAGCATGGCCATAAATTTGGTCGTGCTCCTGGCGATTCTCTGCATGTTCCCATGTCACCATAAATGGATGGTGAGCGAGTGTAATTTAGCAATCTTCTGCATGATAATTACCTTACGCAGAGACGTTAAATTGCACTCTAGCCCAGCCACAAAGCAAATAAACTAGAGATTTGGACAAAATTAGGAAAGCCCAACTATTTTTTGGGATAAATTGAGCATTAAATTAGACACTATGCACAGGACTAAATTGAAGCCTTTGCTTTGCCAATCCAAACCGTGTAGTAACGTTTTACGTCAAGTAAATCGTAACCTTTCAGCGGTTGTAAAATCTTTTAGTCCAGGCGTGTGATAAAAGTAACCCCGCTCATTGGCCATGGTTATAAACATTTGTGTAATCGTGTAGCTGGATTAAACATTAATTCACACTTTAACCTACAGTACAAGGCAAATTTAAACGAAATTATCAAAAGGCACCAAATCTCTTAAGACTATTTAGCACTGTCAATCACAGAATTTTAAACAATTCTAATATCATTCAGGATGCCAAAGCAAGAGCAAACAGACAGGGCCAAAGGTATCAGATTCTCTGGGGATTTTATCGAGGGACATAAGACTCAAACGAATACTAGTAATGCAAAATTTTCAATCGTCCCGAAATTTTTTATAGGCACCCACCATATAGGTGGGTGCCTATAAAAAGGTACCCATAAGTTAGTCAGCTTCTTGTAGGTTTACATCCAAGGGAGGGCAATTAGTTCAGCCTTGGATTGTGGGAGGGGAACCTCGATACAAGCCTAATGTGTATATGGTATAAACACTGGCTGCCTGTCCCCTGATAAAATGAATTAATATGAGCAAAAAACACAGCTATGCTTGCACCCATGACACCCACTGGAAAATGTACATACCTGTACTTCATGTAGGATGCCAGGCTATTAACAAACAGACAGGATCAGGAGATATCTACAAGCATCATAATACACATACAATACCACTGAGCAAAATAAGCATTATTTCATCTGAGTAAATTTACCAACTGTGACGAGGTATAAAAGTTCACAATAAAGCTCACACTGGAGCAAATCATTATAATATTATCTTTAATATTTCAGTCGGAGGTAGTTGTGCAGAGGCTGAAAAGCATAAAGGTGCAGCTAGAAGGAACTGCAGCAAAGAAGCACAGGTGTGGGCTCAGAGGAGTGGCAGCTCAGAAAACACTAGAGTGAAGCTAGCAGCAATCTAGGAGGTACAATAACTGATCATGGGGAGCGTAGGCCAGCCACCAGTGGTGGTGGGAGCCACTGCAGCAGCTCGGGAGGAAGTTACTGTCTACATCAAAGCAGGTGTCGACGGAGAAAGGATGGGAGCATGTCCCTTTTGCCAGAGAGTCTTCATGGTCCTCCTCATCAAGTCACAACATAACCTCCTCAGATTCAAAGTGAGTCAGTTTTCTTATTAGTTATAGATTTGATTTTTGGTATTAATTTATACAGCAGTGTAAAGGGTTTTTATTATTCATTATCAATTGTAATTTTACGTACATTAACTTGCTTACATCTTTATTAATAGCCCACTACATTACTGTACTGATTCAACCGTTCTGGTAAAATCTAGTCTACATTTGTGATTATTCCCCATGATCAATTGCATCCTATTTTAAATTTTTCTGTGATTTTTGTGGAAAATATTATTAACCAATTCACTGCTTCGCATATCATATGACATTTTCTTCATTTACCATCATCAGCTGGTGTTTGATAACTCCTATGCTCACTTCACCCTGGAAATGACTTTGAAAATATTGACAACTACAATGTAGCAACTATTTCACACTTTTACCGATTAACACCGATTAAAAAAAATTGAATGAAGGGACAATTTTCAGCGTTAAACAAATATTTAATGTAATTTAACATATCAAGAAATACAGCGAGATCAAATGTGGTGGTGGTCTTTGTGTGGTGATTTTAAAATGCATTTGCACGGAAATTATAAAAAAATTTAAAGTACAGTACCGTACTATAGTGTATAGGAGTGAGCTTTTAACACCTTAACTGAAATAAACATTACAGCATAATAAAATGGTTTGTTTGTGCTGTACAGTATTACTGTTATCATTACCACTAAACTTTTGATATAGTAATTATTACAGTACTATACAGGGTACTGTATAGTACTTCAACCTACGTTGGCTTTGCGCCCTGGAGAGATCACTCCAGGCGTGGCGCCTGGAGTGATCACACTCCGTGGTTGCACTCCGACAACCAGAGTGCAATTCCATAGTCTCCCGAGACTGATGGATGCCTACTACTACAGGGTAAAGGTATTAGTATTTATATACTGTAGCTATATAATAAATACTGTACAGTACCCAGTAAAGTCTTCTGCACGTTAACAAAATTATTTTATTAAAACTAGTGCTGCCAAGAGCTTATTCTTTCATTATTCCTCAGGTAATCACGGTTAATCCAGCCAAGCCTCCACCCGAGTTTAAAGCCCTAGGCCTCAAGCATGTCCCAGCTCTCATCCAAGGAGATGATGGATACGATGCTCTCGATGATATTATTCAATATATCGACACAAAGTTAGTTCCTCTTACTTTATCATTAATAAGTAGATATTGTTAGTTTATATGACAGTTATTACAGACCAATTTAAAATCAAATAAAAAACCTTGCCAATACCTTGCTAGAATAGCCAATAATATATTGTGCAGTACTGTATTAAAGTGCCTTGTCACTATGAATTTCTACCCAAAATAAATCAAATTTAATCTTAATAAAATTGATGTGAACAATCAGATCATGCAGAATAGAATTAAGTAAGCTAAAAATCATCTTGATCCAATTCTGTATCACTTTTAAATAGGTTTCCTGGAGGAGGACTCGAGTACAACAGTCCTGATGCTGACCTTGCCACTAAAGACTTCTTCTCCAAGTTCTGCTTCTACATCAAGGCAGTAAATCAAGATCCTTCTAAACTAGATCAGGCTCTAGAGAAGCTTAACAATTTTTTAGAGAAATGTACATTAATCACTAATGGTGTAACCAATGGAGACACAAATCACCAGGTGAGCCGTTGCATCATAATGTATTACCCAATATCACAGTACAGTATAGTACTGGCACTACAGTACTATGCACCATTGTTCTGAAACATGTGAATGAATTGATGCAGTTATTTATAATGTTTTGGTTGGCATACATCCCAGATGGCATTATCCGCCAAGAATTTTGTAATGAAGTTGTACTATATAGCAATTTCACAGCTTCCCATAGATTTCTGAAATTTTGGCCCTTAACGTTAATTTATATATTCTAAATGAACTATTTGATTAGACTGACAAATTAAAAAATTTAATAATCTGTTTTATACAAGAAAATGGAATTTACAACCATAATAAGCCAGATTCAGTACAAACTGCTATTACTAAGGAAGAAAATAATACTTTATGTGCAAAGCCAATTCATGGTAGATTTTCTCTAGCACAATGGAGATGAGGAAGATAATCACCAGGAAGCTCCCGTACAATACATGTGTGGTAACCATCTAACACATCTCGACTGCGAGGTTCTCCCAAAACTCCAACATCTCCGAGTAGCTGCAAAAGCTCTAAAGGATTACGATATCCCAACAAATCTTCGAGGTTTTTGGAGGTAGAGTACTATGGTATTGTTCATGTCAGCTACAATGTAAGCCTATGCATTCAGGTAGAAGTTGTATATATTTAGTACTGTACTGTATATCAATACTGTAGCAAGTTATATAAAAGTTTCTCTAACCAGTGCAGTGGCTACACTTTTGTAAAATTGTACAATAGATTCCCACACCAATGGAACCAATAGAGTCCCAGCAACAATTATGTACCAACGGGATTTCAATAAAGACCAAGTTTCAAATCCAGTTAGTGGGTGTGAAATTCAATTGATGAACAATGATGCCTTATAGCAAAAAATGGACACCAAAAGATGACAAATTAAGTAATTCTGTAAATTGAAACTAATATGCATTTTTTTCACCCAGGTATCTACATGCAGCATATACTCACCCAGTATTTGTGAAAACCTGCCCATGTGATCAAGAAATAATTCTCCATTGGCATGACCGACCAGAGACGCCAAAACTATCACATAAAAAGCATTCAGTCATCGCTAAAGAGAAGCCAAAGTATTCGTTTGATGTACCTGTCCGTGCTTCAGTGGTAACAATAATAGATGAATAAGCCACTAATTAATGCATTTTACATAGTATTCATGCATGACAATCCATGTTCAGTAGGGTACCGAGCCATTTGTTAATGTGCATTGGGATATTGCATAAACAGTATTATCTTGACATGTATTTAGAAATAACCCTGAGTACAGAATGTAGAGTACAGAACTGTACAGCAATTTTAATTCTCAAACAAATTCAGAGCCAAGAAATGTCATGGGTGATAAACAGTGATAAATCACCCATGCCGAGTAATTGCTGAAGTTACATCCTGCATCATGGATTTCTAAAATATTATTTAAATATTATTTATAAATCAGTGACAATTATGATTTCATGATGGGTACCTACACGGTAGTTACTGTACTGTAGTTCTGTACAGAGTACTCCTGTTCAAATGGACAAATCTGTACTAGCCTTTTCACAGGAACTAAAGGTCTGTTGCTTCTTTAGTTATTATTTTACTACAGAAATTTATACAAATCATTATTTTACTTATATTATTGCAAATGATAGAACATAGAAAAAAAACTGTCAAAGTACAGTATGCAGAAAGCAAAGTGAATTTGGTCAGCATGAAATACTTATCCATTTTTAAGCATAATCCTATTTAAGTCTGGTCTAGTGGATACACTGCCTGCAATTGTCCATTAGAACCAAATGCAATGATCATACTACCAGAATGGGATCCATTACACCTTTCTGGTGTACAATACAGGTTCAAGAAGTAGTCTACTGTACATATTCTGTCATTATTCTGCTGATGTACTTCATCTCCACATATTAAATATTGAATAGAATATTAAAACCTTAATAATAATAATAATTAAATCTATCCGAGTAGGATCCTACCCATTAAGACTTGTCACGTTTGAAATGTCAGAATAATTTCTAAAAAGCTGTCACACTCATTCCCATTTAAATTCAGTAGTCAGAATATAAAGATATGCTTAAGTTATTGTGCATAACCTTCTTTGTAATGAGATTCAAATAATAATTTCTTGCTATTTCTCTTAACAGGCAGTTCAAGCCAGTAAATTATTGGAACAATTTATGTCTAGGAAATACAGGTACTGTAAATAAATATGAAGTCCATTATTTTTTTGTTGGTATGATGAATGAATGTGGCAGTTCATGTCTTCATTTCATTACATTTCATTTCATTTCGATGATGCAATGTAACAAACTACAAATGTTAGTTGAAGAAACATGCCTCCCGACATGTCAAAGTCAAATCCAAGACGAGTCTTTATTTTACTACGGTACATAAAAGACAAACTGGTCAGTAAACTTAAGATTTTCAAAATCGTTTTACACTGTAGTCTAGTCAATTTTTTTCTTTAAATGTCGCATAAGAATACTATATATTAAACCTCTTGTATATCAAACATCTATCATAAGAAAATGTAAAAAAAAAATTAATCTGATAGTTTTTTTTTAACACTACAATACTGAATATATTTTTTCCACTTTATTCATTGTACAAATAAAGCAATGTCCTGCATTAAATTTTAATTACTATTTTAAGTGATATACAGTATAGTGTTAAGCAAAACACAAAACCCACACATTAAAGATGCAAAACGAAGAGCGTTTCATTTTCTCTTGAACCACTATCAAGTCTTGATAATGATTTGGTAGAGTAAAACATTCCCAAATTCTCATGTCTCTAATGAAGCAATTACCAACGTTTTTTTTTTTGGAGAAACCGGTGAAATTTTTCCATCAAGTTTCAGAAAACACGTAGGGGGTAAATAACGAAATACGAATGTAAAACAGTGGGAGTAATAAATGCCTGTACTGCATTAATTTCTACAGACCCTGTACTTTTGAATTAAAAATTACAAGAGTATTTACTGCCCATTTATATATAATAATTACTGTTAATTAAAAAATTACATTTTCACTTTATATCTTGCTTACAGGTTACACTGTCTATATTTTTGTAATACTGTAATTGTGTTTATATAATTAATTATTCTTTATGGTAAAAAAGCAGCATTGTTTTATAATATGCACAACTGAAAAAAATTGTATTAATATGCAAGTGATTCTAATCGTCTTAATAATGTGAAATTGTGCTTTTTTTTTACAATTATTTGTGGTTGCATCTTTCATAGGAACTCAAAATTGGTCTTCAACAGACCAATATATTTTGGTCTTTTTGGTCTTTATATTCATTAAACATGAAACTGCTTGCTCACATAGGAGCAAATTTGAGAATTGTAGCAACATTTCATAGCTTTCTAGGAGATGGCAGTAAACTCTTTTCACCAATATCCAAAACACAGATAATGACAGTTCATTAAATTTAATTTTTAGTGTGCGATCCCACCTCAGTCAACTAAGCTTTCTTTCTGCATGCTGAGTAAATTTTCTTAGCTGCCTGGATACTCTGCAAAGGGTTTCCTAACCCATACTCTTCCAACGACAAAGGAAGGAAGTACTTGGCAAGCTTTTCATCCAGAGATTCCAAATGGCTGGAATTCAGGGGCTTCACAGTGGTTGCCCATTTTACTGTTATGTAGCCAAGAAAAAGAGGCAAGATTTCAAAATCACCTTTTAAAAGATTTTTTTCCTCCAAACACAAATTGTGTTTTTTAATGCTATAAGTTTGTACACATCAATATTTTCCTTGGGACCTTGCATATGGGTGTTCAAATCCAAGTGTCAATTGAGCAGAGAAATTTGTTGGCTCCATCCATATCCCCTTAAAAGGGATTGCCAAAAATGAATTTACTTTATCTGGCATTAATAAACAGCATTTACTTAACAATAAATAGTGTAGCAATAAATTAATTCTGCACTTGTGTACTGTAATGTTAACCTCCACATTTTAAACACTGACAAACAAAACATGCAGTAGCAAATAGTAGGTGGGAGCGCCAGCAACGTTCATTACTGCCAACCGAATTCCTTGTGGCTACAAAAACTACTCGCCTCAAAATTTATTCTCCCAAGTGAAACTTGCCGTTTAATAATAATCATGCAAATACGTAACCAAGCAAAACTCCAAATGCTTCATCGATATATTAAATAGGTCAATTAAATCATCTCTGGTGGCACAGTGGTAACACACTGCCGACACTTGGCCAGGGAGGATCGGTTTGGTGCCAATCTTTAACTGCTCACCTATGTTCACCTATCAGTAATTGGATACTGTACCTGGTTGTTAAACGAGTGGCAAGTCATGCTCCAGGGAAAACCTAGTGTGTAAGGCATGCAATGAGCTATGGAAAAGAAAAGCTCTCAGCCTTGCTAACATGAATCAGAAAAAATGTACCTTTTGTTATTTTATTAAAAAATAAGTAGTATTTTTTTTTTTTTTTTTGCAAGCATTTGCAAATTCTCACATAACCCCCCCCCTACCCACCCACCGACACAGGCTCACAGTGCACCAATGTTTCACAAAACCCTAGTTTGGAACCACTGCTCTAATGTGTAGATTTTAGTGTTTATTTCAGCCACAGTACTGTATTTGTACTTTTTCTGCAAACAAGGCAAATACCACAATATGCTTTCATTTAAATTGAAAAAAATCTAAAATTATTTATTGCTGTATAGTATTATGAATTATTAATTTTCCAAATTAATATTGTGTCAATATAGCATTTCCATTACGTTTATTAACCTAAATTTGGAATTCCAAATACTGTACAGTACTACTGAATTTATACAACAAGCAATACCAGTCATATACCGAATATTTTGAGCCATCTATTCTGTAATAACACTATACTGATGTGAGAAACACTGGCTAATATCCACCTGACAAGGCGTGTGTGTCGTAGTATTAAATTCTGATACATTACTGTTCTATTATGCCAGTATTTTAAAAACTGCTGTGTTTAATATTCTGTTTGGTAAGGCTTTCAAAATCATTTGTGGATTCTTAACTGGTTTTGTTTGATTACCCTTGAAACCCTATTAGATTTTTTGTTTTCATACATACAGCATTGTACTGTACACTTACTTCATGTGTGTGTATTGAAGTTCTTTCCGACTCTGTATACACACCCTAATACAGTACTATATCCTTCCACTTCTGAGTAGATGTAGCTGAAGAAAACAATATCAGTGAATGCAATGAAATGCCCTTCTCTGGCAGGCTCTTAAAAACTATCCAAGCTAAGGACTGGTACAGTGCTAAGTGTTTAGCATGAGTGGGCAGGCAGCCAGCCTGCCCACCCGCCCGCCTTCCTGCCAGCCAGCCATCCAGCCATCGACTTGGCGTTGACAAGTCCCAGATGCAGCCTTGCAGAGTACCTCCACCCAGTGGAATTATAAATATTCACTTGTTTGTGTTTTCTTACATTCTGCATGTAAATTAATAATGCTATATATATATTTTTTTTTAGTGCACAGGCAGGAATGACCATTTCTCTATAGCCGCTGTCTAAGGATTCAAAAATTCCGATAGAGATTTTTAGGGGTGGTTCTAGACAGAAAACCATCACCTGAGGAGCATATAAAGAACATTGTGGAAGCCCAAGCTATGCTTTCCAATTTTAGAATTGTCTGAAATGCATGGATGGTGAAATATAAAAGAAATCTGAAAATCAGTAGAATTCATGAGGAGGAGGACTCGAACCTATGCTCTGGGTACAAGACAAGGGACTCCCAAGCAAGTGTAAATACTCTGGCAAAGTTCCCAATACTATCTATTCCATACCTTTTGGAAAATTTTTCACTCAAAACGTTCCATTTTCTCCACCACATTCAATAATTAATGCCTATAGTACTGAACCTAGTCAACTCTGTAGCTTTCCCCTATTTTAACTTATGATGTAATTGCCTCTTCCATAGATATATTAACTGGTATACTATGAAGCATGTAAAACACTTTCTACACAAAGTACAGTACATAAATCCTTAAGAAAAAATACTGACCTTTATCACCACCAGTACTGTAACTGACAAATACAAATAATTCACAACAAAATTACAATATGTAATGTGATATAGTGTACCTTGGAAAATCTTTGGAGCAGGACGGCAGGATTGAACCAAATTCTTAGATTAACCCAGATGCCTGTCTTAACCCCATGGATCACGACATACTTAAAAGTTACACAACCTAGAATCTGCCCGAACTCTAGGAATTTGTAGAAACCAAACTGGTACCCAATCCAATTTTGACATGTAACCCACATGCATTCTGGTGTACATAATGGAGTTCTCCATCAAACACTTGTCAGGGGTGACCCAGGACAATGATTTAATCCCACTGTCCTACTTTATAACAATTATAAGAAAATATTTAAAGTTAAACAATACAATACTGTGTTAAAACAAGTATTGTGTGTGTTAAAGTTAACAACCGTCTCATTTCTTCTTTGTATAGAGTAAAATGATTATAAATGAAATGGCAACAACATCCAATTACATCCTGACCAATAACAACTCAGGACTTTGATAGTCTTAGGCCATCTCTGCACATGTACACATCTTCCACTGAACAAGCAAATAAAACAAGGAACAAAAGTGAGGCAAAATGTATCAAATCTGTACTTCAGAAGCCACTGATGAAGCCATCACCTTGAGTGTTGCTCTTCACTATTAAAAAAAAAAAGCTATTTATGCACCTCCATTGTTTAAGTTTATTGTAAGAGAAAACGGGCCATTTGCAGAGTATACCCATGAATATAATAGAATCTACGATATCAATTCATTTCCGGTCAATTTTGCTATACTGTACCATTTAAAACCAAGTTGGGACTATATACCATTTTCTGCCAGACATGTAAGAATGAACCCATCATGGGTGTGTCCTTGTGCCAACATGCGTTTCAATTCTCTGGCTCCTAAAATAATACAATTAACATATCCACCCCTTGTTAGAACAATGAATACCATAAATATAACCAATTATGATAATACAAGCACTGACCTCTGAAAAAAGAATACAGTGCCTACCTTCAGGGTTTGGTAACTTATTCAACAGTTAAAACAGATTTTTGGAAGTTTATATTCACATTTTAGGGGGAGCTATTAACTATCAAGGAAAAAAATGAAGTGGGTCAAAAGTAGACATTCGTAGAGATCTGAAAGCCTTGGCAGCTAGACGTTAACACTTTGCCTGGCTGATAACTCACAATACATCCGTATACGTGTATACACAGTCTGTGCGAGGACACATGCCGAATCAAAAATTAAAATATTTGTTAAAAGTCCATTTTTTTCCTGATCATTATGGGACTAGTTTTAAAATGTGTGCCTTTTGATTGTGAACAATGTTACCAAAATGTATGAAAAAGCACGAAAACCGAGGTGACAAAACTGGAAGAGTATAAATATTCAAGTGCGGGTGGTGGATGCGCGCTCACAGGTAAATACTGGCTATATTGGGGTGTGCTGCATGTGGTGCTGGACCATTTGACTTGTCATATCCCTTTAGAGCATTCTATTGTGAACAATTTGATACCAAAATAAACGACGTAGCACGAAAATTTAAGTGATAACACCGAAAATAGTATAAACATTTGAGTGGAATGGGTGTGCGCTCACGGGTAACACTCTGCCGATTTTTGGGTTTGTTGCGGGAGGCGAGCCAAACTTTTTACCTTGCATGCATATACAGTATCCCTTTAGATCATTCTATTGTGAACAATTTGATACCAAAATGAACGATGTAGCACAAAAAATGTGGCGAGAAGAAAAAATATTTTAATGCACATTTTAAATTCAGGCAACTCCAATTTATGTGCAACTAGAATAAGGTTCCGCCCCACATGAATCTGATTTTGCAAGCAGAATCTGTATGACTAATGGCAATGAGCATGTGCCATGTGTATAACCACAACTCTTGAACATAGTTCGATTAAAAAAATTATTGCAATTTTCCCTTCACAAACTATGCAATACTTCCAAATATAATATTTTTGAAATACCTGTACGCAAAAATAATTGAAATAATTATTGAAATTTTGGAAACAAGCCTACCTAGGCTATGGATTATCGATTGCCGATTGGCAAGTGCAGTTAAAAGCTCTGTGCCTCTGGGTGGTGCAGCAAAAGCTGCACTACAGCTTTTCCTAATTCTCATATCAAATATAGACAAAAATACAAGTCACAGCTTTGTATCATCCTTTCCAGATAACAAATTAGCATGAAAATTACCTCTGCTGAAGACATTGAAAAATCACAAGCAGATATTAATAAAGTTTTGACTGGGCAGCAGAAAATAACATGTTTAACATTGATAAATTCCAGGTACTCGGGTAGGGTAAAAATGAGGACCTTAAACATAATACAGGGTACAAAACACAATCAAATCTGCCCATAGTAGGAAAGCAGCATGTAAAGGATTTGGGAATAATGATGTCTGACGACCTAACGTTTAGGGAGCATAACCAAGCAAATGTTGCGTCAACCAGAAAATGACAGGATGGATTACGAGAACTTTCAAATCTAGGGATCCCATCACAATGGTTGTACTTTTCAAGTCACTTGTGCTGTCCCATCTTGAGTACTGCTCAATGCTCACTTTCCCTTCAGAGCAGGAGAGATTGCCAAAATAAGAGGGAATACAGAAAACATATGGCATACAGAGATTTGATAAAGCACCTAAATTATTCGGATCGTCTCAAAGCTCTCCAAATGTACTTGCTAGAAAGGAGACAAGAGAGATCTCAAATAATATATATACAGTATATGGAAAATACTGGAAGGCCAGGTCCCAAATCTACACAGTAAAATAACACGGAGTGACCGACAAGGAAGAAAATGAAGAATAGAACCAGTGAAGAACAGGGGTGCCATAAGCATAATCAGAAAACCCTGTATAAACATCAAAGGTTCACAGTTGTTCAACATCCTCTCAGGATGTATAAGAAATATTGCCAGAACAACTTGACATCTTCAAGAGAATACTTGATATTTTTCTTCAAGACCAACTGGGCTGTGGTGGATGTGTGACCAAGCTCTCAAGTCAAGCCTGGCCTCGGGCCGGGCTTGGGGAGTAAAACTCACAAAACCGAAATGCTGAAACGCCCGAAATGCTGTACGTATTAGCAGCTTTAGGTATTGTATGTACTTGCTCTATTTATAAACCCAACATTATGTTTGAAACTCATCTATGTATTTTTACCTGAATAAACATTTGAATTTGAACCCCCATCAAAATGGTATCAAGCAGGTCAGTTTTAAATATTCACAATACTTGGGTTTGGTTAGGGAACATTATTTAGACAATTTGTGATACCCAACTTTGTGATGAGTCTCCAATAAAATGGTCCGCAACATTAATTTGTGCAGTGACAACAACGCCACCAGCCTGTTTGGCATCATGGATCTTTCTTGGATACTACTGCCCAAAACCCAACTGAAATTTTACTTTGTAATCTAAAACCAAGTGAGTAAATATATAATGAAAATAAAAGTCAAGGAAATTTTGACGATAAAAACAGTTTAGAAGTACCTTAATTGAAGATACAAGAATCAGGTCCTCGCAGCACTTCCTTGTTGGTCTGCCTCTGTTTACATACTAAACGAGCTTAAACCTTTATCCCCGAGGTTGCTTTGTTTGTGATTTTTTATCAAAGGTTTCCATATTTAGAACAAGAATATATAATAATATATATATTAAAATTATAATTATGAAAAATATAAATTTGAATCAAGCAGATGCAGTAATTATAGCTATACTTAAGTTTTTTTTAGTTTAGTTCATTTATTATGCATCCCATACCCATCTTGTGGGCGGTAGTGGAAAGGGTTACAGAGGCACATAATGGACTCAGGGATTGAACCCCACAATTCATTTAGCTAAGCAAGTTACAAAATTCAATATAAGTCGTCACATGTTGAACACAATTTATCAATTGTTTATCATATCAATATAAAAGCTGTGAGTTTAGTTTAATTAATTTATTACGGGTTTCACATACGAACAACAATGAAAGTACTGTACTGTATATGCGTACATGTCTGCAGTTCAAGATTTTTTTTTAATATACTTACGTCTCAATTTATAAGTCGTAGCCTTACGTATAACTACGTATACGAAAGAATGTTTGCCAATGTGTGTATAAAGTTCATTTTGTAGGCAAAAAAACTTTAGGCAGTGTTATAACCACAAGTTCAGGAACATTACTAACGCCGAAATTATTACTGGCAGTGTTGTGTCACTGATCACATAAAAACATGTGTTTTTCTGTGATCTTACGTGCATTACGCTACCCAGACTATTCTAGCTGTAGCAGGAATTTAATGGCACAGTTTTGGTTAACCCAGTGCAAATTCACCAGTGGTCTTAATTCTCTCTTATAATATATTTGATACTTTACATTGTGGTCCTAATACCCTTTTGTCTCCTTTAACCTTCCTGTGGATGCTCTTCTACTGAATAATAATTGTTGCTAATTCAGTTTCAATCTTATATGTGGGCCACAGCCTTAGAGGGGCATTTTGACAATAGAATAAAAACATAAGCCCATTATGTACCTTCGTAATCTTTACCACTACTGCTCACATGGGTATAGGGTGCATAATAAATTAACTAAACTAAAATATCCATGAGTGAGTGAATAAACTATAGTTACAAAGCTTCCGCTGGGTATCTCATGCCATTTATTTTAAAATCATTGATAACTGGGCATTCACTAGTAGTGTTTAAAGGTGTCTTGGCTCTTTTTTCCAGTTTTCAATAGAGTGCTTGATAGTGCTGGGAGATTTATTACTTGCCATAAGAAACTTTATATGGCAGGGCACATACGGTTTAACCCCGTCGCTGCCCTTAATAACAACTACTACTTTATATAATTAATATTCCAGCCTAATTTTAGCACTAACAATGTCACACATAGTCTGGGAGATGTTTTGTGCTGTTCGTACATAGGGTCATTCGATATAACAAACACAAGTTTTGCTCTTAAACACTTTAATACACCCGGGTCGTAAATACACGACGGGTTTGCTTAAACGGGATCCGTAGCCGCATCGTAAATAGCCGCGCGATGTAAAAAAGAAAAACATATAAAATCCAATTCTTATTCGATCGACTTGGGGTTAGTATGAAAATGTTTGCCATTAAATTTCCGTTTTCTCTAATAGGCACATGGCCTATTTAGGAGAACGGCATTGTACTGTAACTTAGTAGAGAAACTATTGAGTTGTTGACACAACGAGGGTAATCGCCCATTTCACACACTCTTGGTGTGGGCCGCGATCATGATTCTACATTTATATGCATATGTCTGTGTAGGAAATTTTATTTCGAGTTCAGTGATATAAAATTTAACGCTGTAGGACTAATGTGGAGCTGACAACAAACAAAAGAGTATGAACATTTTGTTGCTGTTTGGGCCGTCACGGCGAGTGATCTACGTTTTTATTTATTTCATGGTGGGATAGCTAATGCTTTGGTGACATTTTATACATATGATCTTGTAGAGAATTTTATTGCCAACACATTGATACCAAAATGAAATACGTAGCTCGAGAATTGGTGTCAGGAAAGTGAAAAGATTACACACTTTTTGGTGTTTACCCTCAAGAGCCCAAAACGCCGCTTAACATGCTATAATTCTTTAAACTATTTCTTTTTGCCCTTACAGTGTCAGATTGGGATACCTTATAGATCTACTTCAACTTCAAGTTTATTACATGTAGCTTTATCTGCCTTGTCTGTATCATAATATTTTCTATGTACCATGGTTTTATGTCGTGAGAAACAAGTCACACTGAGACTAAACGTGCGGGTATGAGAAAATTACCAGTGTCAGGACTGGCTGGTGATAGCGGCGGGTTAAGACAATATGACATAACCACACGACTTTACATTTTCAGGAAAAAGTAACGTAAATGAACGGCAATGCAGACTATCGATCCCCAAGATTGCCTCTATCAGAAGTAGTTTTTAAGCTATACAAAATCTATAACCCATACGATTTAAACTGACTGATAGCATATATGTATCTCCGAATAGCGACGTTTGGCATCATTACGTTGAGAGGAGTGGTATTGTGGTAGTGATGGTGGTGGGTCCCAGGGAGCACTGTAGTAGTGACTGCACCCCTCAGTTCATCCCGCGCCTAATACCTATCCAGTGGCGTCAGTGGAACACTGCCTGAAGTTTTTTGCCTACAAAATGAACTTTATACACACATTGGCAGACATTCTTTCGTATACGTAGTTATACGTAAGGCTACGACTTATAAATTGAGACGTAAGTATATTAAAAAAAAACTTGAACTGCAGACATGTACGCATATACAGTACTTTCATTGTTGCTCGTATGTGAAACCCGTAATAAATTAATTAAACTAAACTCACAGCTTTTATATTGATATGATAAACAATTGATAAATTGTGTTCAACATGTGACGACTTATATTGAATTTTGTAACTAGCTCATCAAGATTGTAACTTGCTTAGCTAAATGAATTGTGGGGTTCAGTCCCTGAGCCCATTATGTGCCTCTGTAACCCTTTCCACTACCGCCCACGGGATGGGTATGGGGTGCATAATAAATGAACTAAACTAACATACAGGAAATATTGTTTTTTTGGTACATTTTACAGTCAATAATTTAGACAAATTCATTACATGTTGTACAGTTGTGTGTCTGTGTACGTATTTAATAATAATAATAATAATAATAATTTTTATTTAGGTAAAGGTACATACATAAAGAGATTTTACAAAGTTTGTTGGCTTTATAGATAGAGCTAGTACATACAATGCCTAAAGCCACTATTACGCAAAGCGTTTCGAGCTGTTAGCTCATAGTTGTCTAATTTTCCAACCGTTGGTTGTCTAATGTGCTGAGACCTAATTTTCTCAACATATTTATAGCACATAACTCATAACACACATGGCTCAACATAATATTGTCTACTACTGTGAAAGTGAATGTTCTTGTATTTCTTCGGCAGCTTTGTCTAGTTGGCTTAAATCTGCATGTGGGTGTGTGGGTGTAACATATACCTATCAAACACAATACACAGCTTGTTTATTTATTTAGTTGTTATTTATTTATAAAACAGTTCTTATATTCTTGTGTAACACACTAGTTGTTGTAGGTATGATCCAGAATGTTCTATCTACACATGGGAGAGTGAGAGGTGGAACCACGTGTAGGGACGCTGTGGAGGACAGACGGGCGGGAGGTCACAGCAATGGTGCCAGATTGGGCTACAAATAGCGAATTGGGCTATTTTTGAGAGCCCCACGCTCCCAAATTTTTAATTTCGCTACTTGCTACTTTTTGGGCTAATTTGAAAGCAAGATGTGCTAATTTGGGCTATTAATGTTAAGAATGTACGATTGCGAGTTACATGAAAGTAACTAAGCTATAAATAATTGTAATTAATAATAATTGTAAATATTATTTAATACTAAATAATATTATTTAATAAATTAGTCCCAATTCAATGCAAAGTTTTCTTCCAAGCACAGAAACTTGTAAATATAAGTACAAGATAATAGATAGATCGATAAATAAATAGACAACTTTCAAATATTGCACCAAGTAATGGCGAGAGGAAAAAAACTAGACAGTATACATTACATTTGAAATTAATAATGGATGAATTTGGTGTATGTTTGTATGTATACCAGACAAAGTCCATTTAAAGGCAGAATTTAGAGATTTTGTGTAAAAACTTTTATATCTCATATTATTAATTATAACAGTAATCGAAAAAAGTCATAGTTTGTATATACAAGAGATGAAACAGAGAGCCATGAGCTAGATCGATGTGCTGAGTCCATAAGGAGGCCGAGCTTCCAGAGATACCTTCCTGTGATTGGCTGTTGCGGGGAATACCAACACTCTTTTATGAATAAAATTTAAACTAAGAAATAGGTCCTTGTACACAACAACAAAGTTGTTGTGAAAAAGAACAACAATTTCTGTTTTGCACCTGACAGAAATCTCCATTTAACTGAATAATTTTCTCGAATAAGAGGGCAGAGCAGAGTATAATTATTTGTCACGGCAACCCCCAATAATAACGTCACAAGTTAGGTAGCCATGCAGCCCATTTTTATATAGCATCTGTTATATCCTGCAATATTTAATTATCACTTTATTAACACTTTAAATAATTAACACTTCACTTTTTTGGGTAAATTAAAGTTAAAGCAGAATTCCATAAGCAGGACTAGTGGGCTGAACTAAGATGATTTACTAAGTGGATGGCACCTATAGCTGATTCCTTCCTGTGATTGGCTGTTGTGTGAATGTCAACAAAGAGTTTCTACCAATGATATGCCAGCATATCATTAATTATGCACCCCATACCATCTTGTGGGCGGAGCTTGGAACTTCCTACCCGAGCACAACAACCTGCCTTATGGGTTGCTGTTTGGCTATTTATAGTGCGTTGGAAAAGCAACAGATGGCGTTAGTTGTATTTTGTGGGGTAATTTGTTATAAGTGTAATTTGATATCAACAGATGGCGTAAGCTGTATCTATGGCTACTGTTGACCGGCCAGTTGATAGTGAGGATTATCCCTGCTAAAAAGAAAAAAAAAAAAAAAAAAAAAAAAAAGTTGATAGTGTTCTTATCTGCCGACAGATGGCATCAGCTGTATTATTATTATTTTAATAATATTATTACATTAATAATAATGTATTATTATTACTTTAAACACTGATCTATACGTCTGGTAGCTTATAATAAGGTTTTATACCATGCTGGTATTAGATAACTAGAATTCTGCAATTACTTTTTTTTATCTACTGTTGAGGATATGAAAGACAAATGTAAGGTTTTGAGGCTAAGTAACGAAGATAGTTACAAGATACGAGCCAGATGGTGTTGAGATTGCAAAAGGGATTATGATAAGAACTTAAGCCAAAAAATCAATGCATAAATGTTCGCAAATATGAGACTTGGATTTATTTCTCGAAAAGTTAGCAATAAAATACGCTTCTAGTTCTTTATTTTTAAAATTAAGACCAGGGATTCTGTCTAACGAAGCTGCAAGCTAAAACACCGTTATCCTATAATGTTCATCTGTAGCTTGACCCTAAATACTCGTTTATTAAACGAATTTATTGTTAGAGTTCATTAGAAATCAACTTTGTTGAAGGCAGTTTCCAACAAATACCTTCCTGTGATTGGCTGTTGCGGGGAATGCCAACGCTTATATGAATAAAATGCAAAATAAGAAATACGTCCTTTTGCTCAATAACCTTGTTGTTGTACAAAAGAACAACAATTTATGTTTTATACAAGACAGAAATTTCCATCTAACTGAATAATGTAGACCAATAAGAGGACGGAGGCATTGTATCGCCGATATTATTTGCGTGAGGCAATCCCCACTGATGACGTCACAAGCTAGGTAGCCAGCCCATGTTTCTGTAACACTCGTTACATCCTGCAGTATTTAATTATCACTTTATTAATACTTTTAAATACTTAACATTTCACTTTTTAGGTAGATTAAAGTTGAAGCAGAATGTCATAAGCATGGATGGTGTGCTGAATAAAGATGATTTATTAAGTGGATGGAGCCTTTAGCTGATCCCTTCCTGTGATTGGCTGTTGTGTGAATGTCAACAAAGAATATCTACCAATGATATGCCATTTATTATGCATCCCATACCATCTGTGGGCGGAGCTTGGAACCTCCTACCCGAGCAGAACAACCCGCCTTATGGGTTGCTGTTTGGCTATTTATAGTGCGTTGGAAAAAAACTAGATGGTATTTTGTAGGGTAATTTGTTATAAGTGTAATTTGATGTCAACAGATGGCGTAAGCTGTATCTTATGGCCACTATTAACCTGCCAGTTGATAGTGGGAGTCGGTTCTCACTACATGTAGAGAGCCATGGGGAAGGCTCAGCGCAAGAGGGAATGGAAGCAGCTTTCGGACGAGGAAGGACGGGGGACCGATGTGCAGCAGGCCCCAAAGAAAACTGCTATCGAGGCTTTACCACTTGCTTCTACCAGCAAGTCAGCGGACGTAATGGACCTAGAGAGGACAGCGTCAGTCACACACCAGCCAGTGTCAGTCAATGCTTCTCTGTCCGCAACGCTGCCGCGGGACGGCAGTATGAGTCAGGAGAGGACACCACCGGTTTCACGCCAGCCAAAGTCGGCCATTGTTCCTCTCTCCACAGCCCAGCCGCAGGACAGCAGTATGGGACAGGGGAGGACACCACCAGTCTCACACCAGACATCGCCAGCCTCTGCACTTCTTCCGAAATTCAAAATCATGCAGACCGACCACTTTCCTACAGCATATGGAGTAGTAACGGCGATGGAAAAAGAACAACCAGAGCTCAAACTTTCCATTACAGTCAACCTGAAGGGAGAAATAATACTGACACCTCAGGACCAACAGACTGCACATTACTTAGAGAAGGTAAGAGTCCTGCAGGGGAAACCTGTGTGCTTGGTAAAGCTGGACCCTTCAGAACGACGCACACGAGTCGTGCTTTTGGGATACCCAATCGACTTTCCCCTGGATCCAGTGCTAGAACACAAGCAAGTCCTGAGTGCGGAACGTTGCCACACAAAAGTAGACAAGGCAGCGACGCGTCAGGTTCTGGTGACCGTCATGGGACATGTGCCGGAAACTTTCGGTCTTGGAAATTGGGGGACATACCGACAGAGGCCATACGTCCCGGAACCCCTACGCTGCTTCAGGTGTCAGAAATACGGCCACCATCAGTCACGCTGCACAGGACAGGAGAGGTGCGGAGTGTGCAGCCTGAGACATCCCACCAAAGACTGTATTGCCAAGCACAAGGCAAACCAGACCACAACAGCCAAATGTCCAAATTGTGGAGGCAAACATCATGCCTGGAGCACAACCTGCTCTGCACGGAAACAAAAAGTGCAGACAGCTCAGGCCAGGGTCAACACACTGACCAGCGGTACATCCACCAACACCACCGTCTGGAACACTCGTGCACAGCCACAACAGCCACCCGCTCTCACAGAGCAAAATTTCCCGAATCTGTCAATTCCGACTCAGACATTACACGAAAGTGTTGCAGAAGTCCAGCAAGTGCAAATGAGCAGAAAACACTTACTTTCGGAATCTACTCACCAGCTATACAGTTTTACCGAGGTCCAGCTGCAAACCATCGTGAAGATCATGGCAGAGACCATTATCAATTGCCTACAGATGACGCAGAACGCCTCACAACAACAGGCTCAAGACATCACTTGTGTGATAATGGACAAGATCGTGCAGCAGACCAC